CACTGCACCCCCAATATGGAACAGCAAAAATAGCTTTATTTTATCTAATTTGATAGCTTTGGGAGGTTAAACAGATAAATTGTTGTGCTATTTATCTATGCTCACTATCATTCCAACATCTCTTCCTGCTAGTATGCTCATGAGAAGGTCATTGTGAATGGAACATGCCTTCACCCATTTCCTCTCTTATTGGACACACAATGTGTCAAGGACTCCACTAATAGTAGAGTTGAGGTCCAACTACCTCACTTGGATCATATTACCTTCACAAAGGATCAAACTGATGCAAAGGCCTTCTTTTTGCAATTACAATTGTGATTATTTCCTGATGATCCCTGTCTGCATGATCATAACAAGGTTGAACCTCTTTAGCTTTCCTCCTCTACCGGCAACATTTCAAAGAAATTCTACCTATGCACATTCTCAAAGCCTATAATGTCTCCCAGGTCAATAAGCTCAAACATTCATTAGAAGATTTTCAGAAAGTGAATCATATACCAACTTCGCTAATTGACACATGCATTAATGGTATAGATATCACCGATTCTGAAATCTAGTTATGGATTCATAATATTTGAATGCAATCTCAATATTTCTTTAAAGTGTTGTCAGGCCCAAGCTCTGTTTGGGGGTTACTACTTGCCCGTGCCCAGTGTCCTTTTCGATAGAGCTCAGGCTTTGTTTGGGTTGTCCGGTTCAACTGGCATCCACGGGTGGGAGCACGGGGCCAAAGCCTAGCCATTGTCACTTGAGATTTCCCATTATATTATTGATTATTTTCGATCTAGCTATAGCTTAGCTTATCAGACTTATCTGATCAACTAGGGTTGCCTGACACGTGATCATTGTTGAGACACACAACCCGCTATAGCTTACACCCTAGAAAAGTTGAATGACAACTCAAATGAAGAAGGTCGGTTCACTCAAATGCAAGCTTCGTATAGGAACGAATATATAGCATCGGAATCAACATTCACCGTAGTAGACATAGTCGTCGTAATCGTACTCATAATCAATCTCCTTCATTCCGTCCACCTCTTCGTCGAGTAGCTCCTGAAGATATCCTTGAGCGAAGTAGATACCCACTGTGGAAACGACGGTCAGCTTTTTATCTCTTTGTGATAAGAGCTTTGAAACAATACAACGTACAGATTTCAATCAACCACATTTGCAAGAACAGTGCAAGGGTCAAATATTTCATCAAGGGTGTTCGCTCGCAGAAAGCCATCGAGAAATGATCCAAGTGGAGACAATTGTTGTGGAGAACTCGGCTTATCATGTCTCCTGGATCTCTGAACAGTATTGAGAGACAGTAAATACCGGATCCGATGCCGAAAACAAGTTGAGCCATTATCATGGAACAGAACATGGCGACGAGAGCACGAGATCTGTACAACGCCCCAGTTATTCTAAGTGAGGCATGAGATTAGTATACTCGGGGAACGAAATAAGAGATTAGGACGACGCACCCTAATGTTGTGGAAAGCCCAAGGAAAAAATAAGCAAAAAGATGCAGATCCAGAGCAACAGCGTCTACATCCAAGATGCGTTCTCCTGTATCGCAAAGTAAAAAGAATCCGTCAAACTTCACCAAAATAAAAACGAGTCCAAGCAGAAAACTCACCCAAGGTGAATAAAAGGAAAATCCCAACTACGAAAAAAGTTACAGAGAACAGCAATTCCGCGAAAGCAATATATAACACATGGTGTCTCGACTGTGGTATGGACATCCGCTCTGCGGAACTTGATGTGCTCATGCTGACGACCATGATAAGTGTACTGGGGGGAGCAGGCCTGCCTGTCTTGAGCGCATCAAATTCCAAACGCTCGTATTTATACCAACTCCGCAGCCCCGTCGGGCGTTGCCGCCTATGAATATTGATCCTTTGATGGTGTCACCGCATCCGGGAAAAACGAAAGCACACACAGACTACAGGATTAGTACCCAGTCCTGCTGTAGATGTAACCATATGTTATGCATAAGCTTAGTGTTAAATTGAACTAGCACTTGGGACGACGACTATGGCACATTGTTATATTTTCCATGCACATAAATTATATCTCGTCCAATCAAAATTAATACAGTTCAATGCAGTCCAGCATGAAAGCCGCGTAGAGCAGAACCTCAGTCTCGGCCCACAGGTCGTGGTCACAGGCATGGGTCCAAAAATTCACAGCGCGGCCCTACCAGCAGTCTATCCGGTTTTAGCATCAGCAGGCAAAAGACAATGTATCCCAGTCTTGAACTTACCTCAATTGGAAGTAACAACATCAGAACCGCCGAAACGAGAAACAGCGAGGCGGCGACAAAGATGGGTCTGCGAACGTTGATTAGGTATAGCGTTATCTAACTTTTACTATGATATACTGCAGGAAACCTGACTTCACCCGTTAGCAGTAGCTTGAGAAGCACCCCGGAAGCAGGAGTCGTTACGATTTTGATCGCAGGAGCGAGTATACCCGTCATGCGATTAAAAGCAGAACACAAAGCATCTCCGGTTCCTCGGTGAGGTGCGGGAAATACTTCTGGTGTGTAGGCATATAGTACGCCGTACATCTAAGAAAGGTAGTATGTCAGATGAATATAAGTAACGAATAAATGTAGGCAAGGAAATTTTTGAAAAGGGATGGAGGATTTGACTTACAGCATTCCTACAATCAAAGGGACAATCAGCAACATTCAAAAAGAAACAGACTTCAGCTATTGTAGAGAACCAATCACGTACTGCGTCAACGACGTAACGCACGAATATGCTAAAACATCCGCTTCCTTTGTACTTGTAGTGAACAAGAACAGAAAAATTCCAGTAAGCGCAGTCGATACCGCCATGGTGAGCTTTCTACCGCCTATCGAGAACCTCGAAATGTTTTTAGCTGACTGGTCCTTCTTCGTCCAATCAACCACAAGACAAGCGATTATCGACCCGGGGACGCCAAGAATCGAAATAATAACATAGTTTCGGTAGGTTGTAGATACGCTTGAGGAGGCGTCGGAGACGTGAGTGGTTAAGTATAGTGTGATGAATCCATTGAAGAGAGGGTATGCGAGGCCGATGAGTCTGTGCATTAACGTAAGTAGGGGAAACAAGAAACATGGGAGGAGGGGAGGATATAGACTCACCCCCAAAGAACGATGGTAATGGAAGTATTGGTGGCTAGTCGACGAGTGGAAAATAAGGGCTTGACGTGCGAGCTGGACATCGGTGATTCATTAGTTTGTATCAGAGACTTATCGGACAAAAGAGAGACGACTGAGAGCTTACAGAGAGAAAGAGGAGAAAGACCGTTTGATGATTTGCCAATTGGACATCGGTATCCCAGGGGCATAGTCCTCGCCAGCCACTGCTTGGAGTTGAGCAAGCGTGAGAGTGAGCGTTTTACCGTTCACGCGGGCGATATGTTCCAGGACCTAGAGAAGGATAAGACTCCTTGGTGTACATGGCGGGCAGGAACGACGGGGAGCGCTTGAGAGGAAATAGATACCTGGATCGCTTCTTCGTCGCGTCCCTTGGCTAAAAGATACTTCGGAGACTCCTGGAGGTTGAAAACAAAGTATCGCGTAAACCACATCAGGAATGTAAGACCACCTCTACGAGAGAATTTAGCGAATTTCGAAGGGCGACAAAGCGGAGATGATCACTCACAATGCGTAACTGGAGGATGGTTATCAGTTATATTATCTTCTGATCTGAGAATCAGCTTACAAGGTATAGCGCCAACCCATGTTGCCAGTTTTGGTGCAATCCGTGGCGGATGCACACGAAAAATTTCCTATCAGCGGCCAGGCTATCAATGAAGCCAGAAGCTGTCCCAAAGCCCACCACACTGATAACAGTGTCAAGAACCACTTTGAGCGCAAGGAATAATTAAATTCTATTCGAAAAGAACGAGAAGAGATCGCCATACTTGATGAGATTGAGGGATATTCTCGAGGAAGATGGCACCTGTGGAACATCAACATCAGGACATGATTCTGGTGCCATGAAGGTCGGTGATTGGGTACCATCGACAGGCAGGCTGGGAACCTGATAAGTCCAGGCGTCAATACAGGAAGGAACGTACGAAAACTTACTTTCCGCCTACTCCAAATCCCAAACACGCGACCAACGCTGCGAGAGCAGTGAAGGTATTCGCACCTCCTGCGGCGATTCCAAACACACCGGCAATGAATAAAGTGATATTGAACGAAAGTCTGCGTCCAATCAAGTCTGCGAGTACACCCCAAGTGCTTGCGCCTAGGATGAGACCAGCGAAAAGCGCCATCGTAGCATACTCCACTCGGACCGGCTTTAGCTCGTTTTCGATTTGAGGAAGGATGATTGCAACACCTTGAAGCCAGATATCTGAGCATTAGTTTATAAAGCGTCGGCACAAAACGAAGTAGATATTCGGAGAGCGTTGAAAGACAGACCATCTGCTGCCCAGCCTAGACCAGTGAGTACGAATAGTTGCCATTGGTATCGGCCAAAACCAATCCTGATAAGTAGATCGAGGTTTGATTATGTGCTTTTTGTCAACGATGTAAAACTAAGCGCACTCGGTCTGTAGGTATTCATTGACTGGGGTCGTGGCTATGAGCAACCAGAAAAAAAATGAAAAGGCGTATACGACGTACTCAGTCGACTTTTGGCTTCATACACGGCTGATACGCCCTCGTCTCGCGTCCTTCCATCTGGAATTGAGCGCGACAAACTTTCCTCCTTTTCCAATCTGATTGACTGGTTATGGACACCATTCTTCTTGGGGCCATGGACGACAGACATATCAGGATGTCGGTGGAAGGAAATTTTTGCAATTATCGCGTCCATACACCAAGTTTTGATTGAGAGCGGCGCTAAGTAGGAAGATAGAACGGGGTTTTTGCCATTGCTTCGTTCGAAATAACGCGATCTTCGGGTGTTTGGAGGAGCATAAGGGGAGAAAGGGGGAGCATGAGGGGAAGCATGTGGTTCATCCCAGAGTCGCAGATAAACTCTTACTTGAAATACGCTCAACGACAAGGGCACTTGGCACAGTTGGTAGCGCGCACGCTTCGCAAGAAATGCTAATGATGAATTTCAACGTTGCGTGAGGTCGGGAGTTCGACTCTCCCAGTGTCCATTGTTGCAGTTCGTGGAATGATTTTGTTTTTTTTCTTATTCCATCGATTCTCTTCCAGCCGTTCAACAGCTATCCCCAGGGGAACTGACGAAACGGGTCGACACCGCACCAACTTACTGTTCATTTCCACAGCTTCCACGAATGGCTTAACCTTCCGGCGACCATACTATTACACTCCACTTACTCCATGGCGCTGGTAAATTTTCAATTCATACCTACCGCACTCTCCCTAATCAAGCAAATACTACATACACTATATACTATACTATAAAAGCAAATCATCGTCATGCGACTGGAACTTCTTCTCTTCCTTCTATATTGCACTCTGGATCTTCATAATCCATCATGGATGCCGGACAAGAAAAGTTCAGCGACGCTTCAAGCGCTGAGACTGGCAACAACAATATTCAATTCTACGATCCCTCCGAAGAATCAATATGGACCCGCCTTGGTGTCAACTTTGAGAGCTTCAAACGGGCACCAGGTGTTACTGGGTACGTAGCCTTTCGTTGTCGCTTTCTTCCTTCCGAATATTTTATATATTCAGCGACCGGCTGGTCGTCGGAGACCTCTCAGAAGCAGAAATAGAGAAAATCAAGAGCGAAACACCAATGCTCCAAGCAAAGATGAAAAAACGGCATCTCACAATGATCGCAGTCGGTACGTGTAATCTTGCACGCACTGTTCGTCTGTACGCGTCTCTCAACGCGTTAATTTATTTCTAGGAGGAAGCATTGGTACAGGTCTTTTCGTCGGATCCGGCTCAGCTTTGAAAATTGGAGGACCAGCTGCGATTTTAATAGGTTGGATCATCATGGGTGTCATGTTGGTTAATGTTACCCAGGTCGGTATCGGAATTCACGGTCTCCATGTCATTCACCACTTCATGGATCTCCCGAATCTCCCAAAATCTTATGAATCTCATGAAACCTTTTTGCACCTTTTTACTCAGGCTATCGGAGAAATGTCCATCCTCTATCCTCTTTCAGGAGGTTTCTACATGCTTGCAAACAGGTTCCTGGATCCCGGCTTCGCTTTCGCTATGGGTTGGAACTATTTCTTGCAATGGGCTGTCGTATTACCCCTAGAAATCACTGTCGCTGGGACAACTGTTCAGTATTGGACGGAGAAAGTTCCGATAGCTGTGTGGATCACTGTGTTTTGGGTTGTCATCAGTGAGTGAACGGGAGTCATTAATTCCAACACACCCGAATTGACCAATTCTTTCTATGCTAGTGATCATATGCTTATTCGGTACTCTGGGCTATGCAGAGGAAGAATTCTGGGCATCGTGTCTAAAGCTGTTAATCGTGGTCATGTTCGTTTTCATCGGGATGTAAGCAATTTTCTTCGATGTGATTCAATTTCCTGATGACAAGATTTATCCAGTATATGGTAGGTTTGAATTCACCGCACGACGCTAAAACTTCCAAGTTCCAATCTAAAATATTTTTCCAGTGTATGCGGAGGTGGACCGACAGGCGGAGACTATGACCATTACATAGGGGGTACTTTATGGCACAATCCTGGCGGTCTCGCCAACGGATTCCAAGGCATTTGCGCAGTTTTCGTCACTGCCGCTTTCTCATTTTGTGAGTGACATCCACTACTGTCACTCTACATATACATCATCTTCAACTTGCATGTGGTACTGACTCAGTTCGCAGCCGGAACGGAACTAGTCGGTATTGCAGCTAGTGAAACTCCCGATCCTCGTGCAACGATGCCCGGTGCTGTAAAGGGCACCTTTTGGCGTATAGTGCGTTTTCTTTTATATTTTCTTTTCCGTTGCGTGGTCTGCGGCAATACTTATGCTGCCGTTGTCTGCAGACTGTGATATACATCACATCACTGACAATCATCGGTTTGCTCATCCCTTGGACGGATGAGCGGTTACTCGGTGGGACTTCAGCTGGTCGGTATCTTCATCTGTTCGTCACAGTCTTGGGGTTACATACTTATATATGGAACGTATGATTATCAGCTGCCTCACCTTTTGTCATCGTCCTCGACAACGCCAAGATACCTGGATTGAATCGTACGAGACCTCATTTCACCTTCTCTGGCCTTAAAAACCAATACACAAATGTCCCACCTTTTTATGATAGATCTCGTCAACGCTACCATCTGTGTTTCCGTGCTCTCTATAGGTCTTTCTTGCGTATACGCAGGCTCTCGAACCCTCACTGCCCTCGCAGAAACGGGATATGCTCCCCGAATTTTCACCTACGTTGACAAGTCTTCTCGACCTCTGTTCTCCGTTATTGCTGTCCTCGTTTTCGCACCGATTGGATATGTTAACGTCGTTGCCGCTGGTGATACCGTTTGTGAGTGCATTCATCAAGTTTGACGTTAAAACTCTGATCAATTCGTTGGCGTTCATCGGAATAGTCCTTTGGTTGCAAGCCATATCCGGACTCTCCGTTCTCTTCACATGGGGTGCTATCTGTTTATGCCAGTGCGTTCTTCGAAGCATTATCAGTAAATCTCACTGTTGCTGACTGTGTTGAATAGCATCCGTTTTCGCCGTGCTTGGAAAGTCCAAGGCCACTCTATAGAAGAGCTTCCTTTCACGGCTCTAGGAGGTGTCTGGGGCTCATGGCTTGGACTTATCCTCGTCTTCATCGTTCTCATGGCTCAATTCTACGTTGTAAGTAATTACCAAAACCTTCATCTATTCTCTCTTTCAAAAAAAAAAAACACTCCTTTCTGATTGATCCGTTCAGGCTATCTGGCCCGTCGGTGGAGTATCCAGCGGTAACGAACGCGCACAAAGTTTCTTTGAGGCATATCTTGCCGCTCCTATCATCCTTGCTTTCTGGATAGGCGGATACTTATGGAAACGCACTCTACCTTGGCGAGCACATGAAATTGACCTGGATACTGGTCGAAAAAGCTGGCTTACTGTGGAGGAAATGCGTCAGTATCGTGCTGAGAGGAAGGCCGCCCCTTTGTATGTTCGTATTTACCGTATGCTGTTCACGAACTAGGCTGCTTGGGCCAAGTTTGAACTTGTTTTGAACATTTTCAAATGTATATTAGGCTTCCAGCTATGTATTTTACCCAAGTATCAACATTTTGCCGTATATATCTCTATGGCATTGTAATCGTTTCGGACTACATATTTCACTTGGTGCGATTCATACTGTAGGGTGACGATTTAGGACAAGCCAACTTGCGCCTTTTTGCGCTAAAATCTAGCTGAGCCGCGTGTTAGAAAGCAAAACAGCGCAATTCTAGGCAAAGGAAGTCCCTAGATGGTTTTGCTACTCAATCCGTTGATGGTTGATCTGACGAGCTCGCTTAGACCACTGGAAAGATTAATGAGCGTTGTTATGGTCCTACTACTCAATCCTGACGGGAAGTTGTTCTGTCACACATCGTGAATACCCCTCAGTCGTGTCTCCTGTTGTGCATGTCCCGATGTCCTTTGGTTACTACAGAACGGCGCCAGCCAGACTTGGCTCTCGATTGTGATCGTAGTAGAGATTTCTTATCAGCAAATTTTGTTAGATTGAGCTTATAACAATCTACTTACTCGTGGAGATGGTTTTGCGCCTTTTTTGCACTCAATTCTAACCTAGCCGCGTATCAGAAGGTATCAGAACGCAAAACAGGGCAAGATTCCAGGGAAGGGAAGTCCCTAGATGTTTCGCTACTCAATCCCATCGGACGAGCTCGCTTAGGCCACCTCATCCAATACTTAATCCCTACAGGACGTCAATCGATCATCGCCTGGCGCCCTTTTTTTCCCTCTTCTCACTTCTGCTCAACAAGGTTCAGAGCTGGACTCTGCAGCCTTTTCTTCTTATCTCGAAACTTCACTCGTTGTTTGAACTCTCTGTCGTCACTATCATGCGCTCCCAACGTCAAGCATCTTCCTCGCTGCTCTGCTATCATTTTCCCTATCGACTCTATTGGTCATCAGAGTAGACGCAGCCCCTACCTTGTCTGGAAGTAATTCTACATCAGTCACACCTAAACGTATCGAAATCGGGCTTGATTATGGGTCTCAGGTAACTCGGTCTATTTGTCAGACCACTGTGTATACTGAATTTAGACTCTAGGCTGATTTCTCGAAGTATGTGGGGGCCCCACGTGATTTTCAATTCCCATCCAGTCAAAGTTCTAGACGGTTGAGCTCCATGCGTTTGCGTGATCCCTTCGGAAAAAAGATTGTGTGAGTGGATGGGTCGGGCATTCTCATCATGAATGTGTACTCACTAATGGTCTGGTTAAAAGTAAGAAGCCACCTGGCGAGGTCAGTTGCTTGTTCAGTCTATACTATTGTCATATCCCTACTGATTCATTACAGTGGATCTTCACTGCTGATGAGCCGGCTTTCTTTTCAAATGATCCTTCATTGTGTTGATTCAGAAACTTAAAGCTTAAATCATCGGCTAGGATTTTCTGGTAGTGGGTCAAGAAATCCCGGACGACGGGAAAGTTCATATCTACGTGACTCCATCGGACGAGTTTGATTTCAGAAGATAATTGGGACAAGTTGGCGAACAAGTGTAAGGTATTTCGCGAAAGCCAGAACAAATAGCATCTTCATTATATTCGCTCCATGGTCAGCAGCGGGCGAAATCCAGAGAAGGTGGTGAAACGCGATAGGGTATTTTCAGCAGATACAAAAGTCAGAACGATGCCCAGCTAGAATACAATGACTCAAGATGAAGTCGTATTGAAGAAGGATTCTGCTTTTGATGACGCTGATAAGGACTCAAACGCTCCTGTAAGAAAGAATTATATGAAGAAGAATACAAAGAGGAATACCAGGCGAATGTCTCACCGACGTCGGGCTAGCACTGACGAGTACTGAGTAGGACGTAGATGAGGAAGCCAGAGGACGAAGTGACGGAACATGATGGAGGATGGACAGTGGAGGTGAAAAGAAATTCATTGTCGAACGTTGCATCACAGTCACGGATCGTCTCGCATAGGCTACTGACCCCTCACGATCTCAAATAGTATTCATGAAACGACGTCCTAGCAAG